TATCTATCTATCTATCTATCTATCTATCTATCTATCTATCTATCTATCTATCTATCTATCTATCTATCTATCTATCTATCTATCTATCTATAAGACGTTTATTGCCATATATGCTGTAAAACACAGTGGTTATGTGGGCTCCTTTCACACCAATACATAACTTAAATAAACAAAAATAGAAAAATAATATGCACAAGAAAAATTAAATAAACAAAGCAAGTACTGTGCAGAAGGGTAGAGTGTATTCAGACTATAAAGTGTGATTGCTTATGCATACTATAACAATCTTATGATATAATATTGTACCTTACAATATAAAGCGGCTGTTTGTTGGCTGGTGCTTTATAAATAAACCTTGGTTGAAAATTAAATAAATACAAAAGATACAGAAACAGTGTATTGAGAACTGTGCTGCATGCCCTTGAATGACTGTAAAAATAGCAAAGAGGCGTGGGAGGAAAAAAGGAGAAATGAATGCTTATTGTGATCTGTGGGTTGTTTTTTTTTTAATATGAGTGGTTTGTTCCAATAAAAATGTGCCCTGTGTCGTGGGTGTGTGTGATGGAGAGCGATGAAACTGACTATTGAAACAGAGGATCAGTGTGTGGCTGCTAATAAGATGGAAAAAATAGAAATAGACAGGAGTACCGATGGAGAGAGGAGGAGAGGAGCGGAGAGTGTTGTATGGGATTAATGGACATACTGTGCGTCTGTGCAGGAGGAGGGAGAGGAGGGAAGATGGGCTTCTCCGTGGAGGCTGTGGCGGTGGTGGGAGGGGGGGTGGCTGGGGGAGACCACTGAGGCAGGGGAGAGGGAGAGGAGAGAAAGGGAGGGAGGGGAGCTGGTAAAACCACGGATATTCATGAAAACAGCAAGTGTGTGTGTGTTTTTTTCTTTCCCCCTCTAGCCGTGGCGATACACCGCTATGTCTACAGAAAAACAGAGGGAGCAGGGGAGAGAAGGAGAAGGCGAGAGGAGGCGCAGCCCATCTTGCTGTTGATCTTCAGGCGATCAAGGTGAGTGTGATTTTTTTTCCTACATCCTCCAGTCTGTGTGTGCCAGTGTATGTGGACATGTGTGTGTGTATGTGTGTGTGACACATACCTCATGCAGTGTGTGCAAACAGTCATGACAGCAGGGGCATTCCTCATATGTGCATGTTTTCAGCATGTGCGCGCTCGCTTTATATATGTATTTGGGTGTTTTGTGAGAGAACAGCAGGCTGGTGGTTGAGCTGCATATTGATGCATAGCTGCTTGGTTTTATAAGCTGCTTTATCTGTAGTGGAGGTGGTATTGGTTTGCAGCTATTGCGTGTGTGTGTAAAGGCTCAAATGCCTTGATTGTCTGTGCATATATATGTCACTGTGTCACTATGCATTTGATGATTTCTTCTCTTTTGTTTTGGGTTTGTTTTTCTTTCATTTTGTTTTGTTTTTTTACCCGTGTGAATCTGTGTGGATGCTGCTGTGTGGAAGACCCATCGCTGAGAGGGTGTGTTCATGGTGACCCTTGATGAAAGTCTTCTCCAGCAGCTCTCTATGTGTGTACCAGCTCCATCAGAAACACTCTGATATGCTGAATCTGTCCCATCCAATAGAATTAGGTCAGCTTGGACTGCTCAGAGTAATTATATAACATCAGAGAGCTTTTTGGTGTTGCAGTATCTGCTCAGAATTAGCCACACTGTAGGTACGGCTCCAGCAAGGCCAATCAAAACACGTTGTCCTCACTCTGAGTTATTTACCAGTCAACCAGCCATGTCTTGAGAGTTTTGTTTGGAGGCTTTTTTTTTTTTCCATATATGAAATTTGTATCATGGAAAACCACTCACATCTTCTGTAGTACTGTATACATGAGGACAAGTTTTTCCAATTTTATGATACATCAAATGAATTCACTGAAATAAGACAGGAAAGAGTATTTCTGTTTTGTTCTTGTTTTTTAAAGTCTGTACATACTAACACTTAATTTCTGTTTTCTCACAGGAAGATTTTTTCCAGGATTGACTCTGGCAGATCAAACCAGGATGTTTGGACTTCTCAGACGAGGTCATGCTTGACACGTCTTCCTAAGCAGGATTTGGATCCAGACCATGACCGGTCATATTGTGGATGATTGACCTGAGAAAGGAGAGGACCAAATTTCTCTGAAATCTCTTTGGATTCTTAATTGTTGGGAAATTGCCTTCATGTGGAATCAGGTTAACAACTGGGGAACATCATGCAGACAACTCTCAGAGCTGGATAGACGTTTTAGAGAAAGGGGTTTCCTTTGGCAACGGCATCATGAACCCTGACTGAGATGTTCATTGGCTCATCTGGCCAAAGCAAGACAACATGGAGTGACTTTTTTTCTTTCTTCTGCCTTTGACTTTGGAAAACAGACAGATCCAAACAAAGGTCAGCGGCCCCGGTCTGAACCTGCAGCCTTTGAGGGCTGCGTAAATGCTCCTTTACTGTTCTCCACCACGCTTTACTTCAACCACCTGAAGACTGAGGTGCAGAGGGAGCGCGAGTGAGGCGGTTGGCTGGCCGAATCCGCTCCAATGGGGGCCGGTTGTGACCCGGTCTGACCCCGGTTTGACCTTGCAGTGACCTCTGACCTCTCCGGTCCTGGCTCTCCACCTGCTCTGCTGCCTGGGTTCCGGAACGCTCCGCCCTGGGGCCCAGAACGAGCCAATCAGAATGAAGAAGAGCCGCAGCGTGCTGTCGGTGACTGGAGAAGAGGTGAGGAGGAAGATCTGAACAATCAGGAAAAATCAGCTAACCTTGTCACAGTCACAGAGACCGTAGATCCCAGGCCTAGTAGCAGACTGTCTCACTGAACTCTGTGTGTGTGTGTGTGTGTGTGTGTGTGCGCGCAACTTGAATGCCTACCGTCACATAAACGCCCCATGATTTTCACACATCCAAGCTCTCTTTGTTCCCGCACACGCTCAGAAGTCCGAGTGGACAGTTTGCATCCTCCAGCCTACATTCACCCAGCAGGAGCCACTCAGTCCCAGTCCTCTATGTAAATGAGCCGCAGCTAAGTGAGTGCTCTATGTAAATGAGTGATTTCCGTTTAAAGGTGAAGTCCTGGCTAAAGGACATAACAGCATGCATTAATCGGGAGCTCTTTTATTGATTATACATTTTGTTATGCGTCCATGTGTGTGTGTGTGTCCGTGCATGCGTGCGTGCATGTGTGTGTGTGTCCGTGCGTGCGTGCGTGTGTGTGTGGATGCGAGCATCTCCCCACATCTGGGTCTGGATGACATCAAACACAGCATGGAAGCAACACGGCACTGTTGCCTAGCAACTGCTACCATTCCCCCAGTGTTTTGTTGCTACGGTACTGCAGTGCAGATCAGCCTCTAAGAGCTCAGTCTGTAGAGGCCCTATCCCAGACACACATGCACAGTCATACACACTTACATCAATAATTTATAGTCTGTGTTTCTGTACAAGTTTCTTTGCTCGTCATTGTTTGAATATGGCAAAACAACACAGCCTGGGACATGAGCCAAAACAGCAACTGCGTTCTTCCATTTTTGCTACTGAATGTGTTGGGTTTTTTTTATTCTTTCCCCCGGCAGGCAGTGTTTTTGTGAAAGACACAATATGTTCTCTTTTAATCCTCTGAAGATGCACCTTCTTGTTCCATATCCCCATTTCCCTTACCTGCCTCCCTTCTGTCTCTCAGGGAAATGACACAGATATAACAGGTGCTGGGGAGAAGGCGGAGTCATCTCGCTACAGCCGATCGTATACGTCCGGGTCCACGCTGGGGGCTGAGTTACGCAGAGGGAGGAGCAGAAGACTCTCGCCAAGTCTCCAGGTATGGGAAGATGGAATGAGCATGTTAAAGTGGCAATCTGAATGGTTCCAGTCCCGTTGATTTGGTAACACCTGAAGTCACTGTTGATAGCAACAAACACTTTAGCACAACAGGTCACTGAATTATAAGGACCACCTTGGTGAGCCACCAAGATCTGTCCCTTTTTCTTCTGTTACTTCAAGCAATACTTCAAACTTATCTGAAGTTGAATAATGCAGAAAATTACCCTTTTTAGACATATAGACTGTAGTTAATA